ATATATATATATATATATATATATATATATATATATATATATATATGTATATATGTATATATGTATATATGTATATATGTATATATATATATATATATATACATATATATATATATATATATATATATATATATATATATATATATATATATATACATATATATATATATATACATATATATATATATATATATATATATATATATATATATATATATATATATATATATATATATATATATATGTATAAGAACTAATGTTCGAGGAAAAAAACTAGACGAATAAGAGTTTTTGGAGCACTTAGGAACAGTAACAGAAAAAGGATGAGACAGTTAAATGAAGAGTAACACGAGAATGAATTTTTGTAGATGGCACAAGAGACGCTAGCTCTTTAGAGGAGTGCCCATTATAGTATTTGTAGAAAAGAGAAAGAGAAGCAACATTACGACGATGTGACAGAGGTTAAAGGTTAGCTGCAAGAGTAGGTCCAACTATGTTTACAATGCGTTTTTGTACCTTGTCTAAAAGAGAAAGGGCATCATTAGAAGATCCACCCCAGATATGGCAACAGTATTCCATACAAGGCCGGATTTGAGATTTATTGAGATAGAGAATAGAATCCAGAGTAAGAAAGTGACAAGCTCGGTAAAGAGAAGCGACTTTAGCAGATGCTAATTTTGCAACGGATTTGATATAAGGTTTCCAAGAAAGATCAGAAGTAAGAGTTAATCCTAGAAGATGAAGGGTAGGAGACTCATTGAGTACATTACAGTTCATAAATATAGGAAGGTCTAAATTATTGCGATAACGATTGGCTGAAAAAAATTGAGTTTTATCTGAATTAAAGTTCACCAGCCACTGTGAACCCCATGCTGTAGCAGAAGTGAGATCCTTTTCAAGCTCAGATGCCCCCTGCAAGCAATCAGAGGGAGTTGGCTTCTTATCATGACAAGAATAAATGGTAGTATCATCAGCGAACAATGCCACCTTAGATGTGAGAAAATCTGGAAGATCGTTAATGTAAATTAAAAAGAGTATAGGGCCAAGGATTGACCTTGAGGAACCCCTGAGGCTACAGAATAAATAGAAGAGTGCTGTCCATTTAGGACAACTTTTATACTACGATTAGAAAGTAAGGATTCGATAATCTTAAAGATGTTTCCAGATACACCGTAAGAAGAAAGCTTATGGAGAAGACCAGCATGCTAAACTTTATCAAACGCCCTAGAAATGTCAAGAGCAATGGCCTTAACCTCTCCTCCTTTATCTAATGCGCGATAAAACCTATCGGTTATTACTGATAGCAAATCAGCCGTAGAACGAGAAGATCGAAATCCATATTGATGATCAGAAAGTAGGTTATGAGATTCGAGATGAGAGATTAAGTGTTTGTTAATTAAAGATTCAAAAACCTTGCTTATGATAGGAAGAAGACTAATGGGACGGTAGTTAGACGAATCAGATCGCTCTCCAGAATTTTTAAAAATAGGGATAACAGATGCTGCTTTCCAGCAGGCTGGAAAACAAGACTCTGATAAGCACTTGTTAAATAGTTTTGAAAGGATAGATGACAGCTCCGGAGAACACTTCTGCAAGACTATAACAGGTATGTTGTCTGGGCCGCAAGCTGTAGAAGAGTCTAAGCAGGAAATCACTTTAGATACAGAAGCTGGAGTGATACGGATGTCAAGCAGTGGATCAACCTGTTTGACGGCTATATCAGGTAGAACGCAACTAGTGGAATCAAGAGATGATATTGATAAAAAGTTCTTGGCAAACAATTCAGCTTTGTCTTTAGGTGAGGTGACAAAGTCTGAACCATACAAAAGAGGTGGAATTACAGACTTGCCCTTATTATTGATACTAATAAAGATTCTCCAGAAGTCACGAGAGCCTAATTTTTGTGATGAAAAACGAGATTTCATAACATGAAAATATCATAATATGATGATAGGGGGATTCTGATGATAAAGAAGAATGAGATAATAGTTTTAGAGAGACCAAACCATGATTGGAAGCACCTAAGGGTGAGTGTGGAGAAACTGAGCACTGACTAGGATCAGAAACAAGACATAAGTCGAGTAGAGAAGGTAAATGATTCGGGTTGTCTGGAAAGCGAGTTGGAAAGTTGACTATTTGAGTTACGGATTGAGAAAAGCAAAAGCTGTGGGCCTTATTGCCTGCAGAGTCACTGATACAAGAGCCAAGCCATTCAGTGTGATGAACATTAAAGTCACCGACAACAACAATATTGGCTGATGGATAAAGAATGAGGGCTTGGTCAATATGATCAGAAATCACATCAAGAAGAGTGCAGTCTTGAGATGAAGGAGAGCGATATAGAACAAAGAGAAAGGTGATAGAGTGAAGTGGTGCTAAACAAAGCACATAAAAGAGTAGTCTGTGGATTCAAACCTAGTTTCCCGACAAATGGGTGAATTCTTACAAATGTAAATGCCTAGGCCAAGCATGTGACTATTGGAGTCTTTACAAATTAAAGGAAGATAACCATCAACACTAAGATCACAAGATGAGACAGCTGAACTCAAATATGGTGGGTTTAAGTGCTCTAAGTGTTTTTTCGACTGTAGAAGGAGAGAAATTAAAAGATGACAGACAAGTTGAATGTACGTTAACACGATCCGTAAACTTTGGTGATAAACCATTATCGACTGTAAAAACACTTGCAAAAAAGTTATTAGAAATACAGGATATTTCTTCTTTATCAAGACAAAGGGTATTATCAGATCAACGAATGTCATTGAGTTTACAACAGGTTTTGAGTTTTCCATTGACAAAATTAAAGAAACTGCCAAGGTTGTATTTGCGTATCATCTTAAGTTCTTTTGCTGCATGATACTTTCTAATGGAATCAGAACATTGTGCGGCAATTGATTTATAGGCTGCTTTGCCATTAGATTTACCTGTTACTTTTGATCTTTTCCATGCCATTGCTTTGTTGTTTATCAACCTTTTAACATAATAAGGATAGTGTATTTTATGTGATAATTTATGCTCTTCACAGACTCACACTTTAGGTACATGTTGTGTAATAATGTTATTTAGTATAGTAGAAAAAGTATGCCAACAAGCTTCAATATTAAAACATGTTTGAAAGATAATACTCCAATCGACCGATTTCAGATATTTATTGATAACTTGGTAATCTGCATTTTTCCAACAGAAGAACTGTTGCACTGGAACTTCAGTTTTATTATATAAGCAGCTCAAATTAGGAGTGAATATGATTACATTATGATCACTAGTACCAATAGGTGGCTCAATACAGAGATTACTGATAAATGAAGAGGAAGAACTCTAAATAAGATCTAAGATTTTTTTAAACATTTATTAGTTTTTTAAAAAATTGTTAAGGGTTTTAGATTATAAAACTGAAAAAATAATAATAACATAAGTTTCTAAAAAAGAGAACAACTATTTAACATTTTTTGGCCATAGGGATTTTTCAATTTTTGATTTCGATTTTGTTCAATAAACAAAATATCAAAAAAAATACAATATATCTAGAAAATAAGATATTTATATATTTACCAAAGAAAAATTAAGTTAAAGACATATGAGACAGTCAAGTCTAAGCAAATGCGATTAAAAAAACAAAAAACAACAATGACTAGGGAAGAGAGAAAGCTTGTAAAATAGCAAATGAAAAATTACTCACTTTTCAAAAAATTAAAACTGCAATTGGCTAGGGAATTACCAGATTTAAGTCCCATTAAAAATGTATGGGAGTTTTTACAGAGGAAAACTCTCAAAAAAACAGGTCACAAAAATAGCAAGAAAATTAATTTAAGAAGCTATCTGACATTGATACACTTTTAAAGGATTGGCTCTTAACTATATTTATTTTAAGCTAATTCATATATATATATATATATATATATATATATATATATATATATATATATATATATATACATATATATATATATATATATATATATATATATATATGTATATATATATATATATATATATATATATATATATATATATATATATGTGTGTGTGTATATATATATATATATATATATATATATATATATATATATATATATATATATATATATATATATATACATACATACATACAATATTTACCTAGCTGTTTTGTAATACTCCATGGAACCACCTTGTTGTTAGGTAACCACAATATACTGGAATTACTCAAAGCAGCACGCTTTTGTCTTAATGCCTTAAGCAGTCCAGCTTGACTAATATCTCCACTAACTTCAATTATAGATTTTTGTTCTGGAGTTAATAAAATGTCGCCACCAAACAAAACACCTTCTGGGTCATTATTTTCTAGAGAGAGAAAACTAGTAGAAATACATTTGTTATACAGTTGAACTCATGTAATTTGAATCCTTAATGCATCTCAAAATATGTTTGAATTACAAGAGTTTTTGAATTATAGGAATTCAATAATAAATATTAATCTTTTAAGTAATCAAAGAATTTGTTCAATTTAAGCAATCTTTCAAATTATAGAAGTTCAAGTTACATGAGTTTTATTGTAGTATACATATTTTCAGCAAAAAAATAAAAAAAAATAAAAAAAACAAAAAACAATCATAAATTTATTTATCCATAAATAAATAAATCTATGATTGTTTTTTTTTTTGTATTAAATTAAATTTATATATATATATATATATATATATATATATATATATATATATATATATATATATATATATATATATATATATATATACACACGCACGCACACACACATACTTTTTATCTTCCAATCATTTATTTGCTTTGCAGCCATTATATTTATTAAATTCAATTATACTCCTAGACTTGAACTCATTTAATTGGAATCCTCAGAGCTTTTAAAGTATGCTCAATGTATGAGAGTTTAAATTATAGGAGTTCAATCGTAAATATTAAACCCCAAAAGAACTTAAGAATTTGTTTGATTCAAATGATCTTTGGAATTATTGGAGTTCAAATTACAAGAAGAAAAAACTAAGAGATTTTTATTGTTCTTGATTATTCTTGTAATTATTTTGAAATTAATTTTAATCTTAAATTTTACCATAAACACTGTCATAGTTTTGATGACAATATCTTTTAATAAACACTAACAAAGCAGATAACTAAATACATTGCATATGTGTGTGTATATTTATGTTAAGTTACAAATTGACTTAAACAGTTATCATTATTATTATAATAAAAAGAAAGAAAAAAAACATTAAAGTTAAAAGCTTAGTACGCAATATGGTTGCCAATAAATAAACTTGCTTTACAACAATTCCTGTGGGACAAACATACAGTTATTATCAACATTTCAATGTATAATTCAAAGCATCATGATACAATTGGTAAAAGAACAATTTTAACTATGGCTGAAGAGCTCATACTAGTTGCATACTTTGTCTTTAAATTATTAATGGATGGCTTGTAAATGCAGTAAATGGTTTTGTAGTAATTGCTTTTATTTTTAGATTAATAAGATAAAATTTCAATATGAACTTATATGTTTTTGAATGCAAATGTATACAATTGTCTATGATATAAAAATCTGAAATATAATTAATTGTTTTATTTATAAAAAATAAAATCCAATAATTAAATGCATGTACGTGTATGTGTTTATTTTTTTACTAATGTAAAAAAGTTTTAATTTCCACACTATTTTTTTATTTATTTTTTCTATATAATGGAATCCAACCTCTTTCAAATTGTTTTATAACTAACTTGATAAATAAAATCTTTAACTTTTTAAAAAAAAATCGGAAAACTTGTCGAGCTCTACAAAAATATGTAAAAAATGTTTTAAAATTCCAAAGTTCAAAGGTAACGAAAAACGAAAAAATATACATAACTCACGTTACTATAGTAACGTTTTTTTTAACAATTTTTTAAAACTTTAAAAAAAATTTTTTTAAATTTCTTTAAAAGTTTTTTTAAACAATATTTTAACTTTGTTTTAACTTTTTTTTAAGTTTTTAAACAATTTTTTAAATGTAGGCTGACCAGAGTTTTTTGATAAAATCCGGGGACATATGAATAAAAATCGGGGACATTTGAAATTGTACTAAAAAAATACATTAAATCACTTTTTAATAAAAAGTTTTATGTCAGATCATAATCATTTTTATTAATACTTTTCTGAATCATGAACCTGTTCTAATAGTTTAAAATTATTTTTAACTAAGTTATAAAACTGAACACAATTTTCATCGCTTATTATCTTGGATTGATATTAGGGAATCAAGTGTGTCAATTTTTAATCCACTTTTTTCGTCAGTCCATACTCGATTTATAATTGAAAATATTCTTTCAACTTCTGCCGATATACCAGGAATTGATAATGCAAATTCAACTATTTACAAGTTGAGTTGCCATTTCGCGGTGATGTTTAAAAATTTCTAACCAAATAGCTTCCGCAGTTTTTCTTTCAGATTACCATGCCGATTGATTATTAATGACAAACGAAAATTTAAACAATATTTAAATTTTAAGTGGAACGACTTTTTTTCGAATTACATATCTCTTTCATTTTTTGAAAAATTTTTAACAGATTTTTTATGAAAAATTAATTTTTTTCTTGCAATTTATATGAAAATTTTCTAAAATTTAAAATTGGGGACAAATTGTCTCCTTACGGGACCGGGGACAAATGTTGAAAATCGGGGACTGTTCCCGGCAAAACCTAGCAGATGGTCAGCCTATTTAAATGTATACATTTATAATATATATATATATATATATATATATATATATATATATATATATATATATATATATATATATATATATATATTGTTTTTTTTTAAACAACTGATACACCGTATGCATTTCTTAACAATCGAATTAAAATTATTTTAACTCTGAATCTATTTATTTGTTTCACAACAAACATATGGCCGAAATATTTTTTTTAACTGAGTATCTTAGCTGGATTATAAAATAGTTAAAATGACTATAAATAGATTGTTACAGTAATGACTATAAAAGTACGTTAATAAAAAGAAATAAAGAACAAGCGGAAAAAACATTAAATTTTTTATCTTTCTATCTAGAGTACCCATTAAGTCTATCAAAGTAATAATTGTTGCACTATTTATATAGTTGTAACACCTATGCATATATATACATTTAAGTGCAAAAAGAAAAGAAAAAATTGAACTAAAATAGAAGTTTAAATTTTTAATAAAAAAAATAATTGAATTATAAGCAAAAATAAATATATAACCTTCCTCAGGGAAAGAGTGGCACAGAGCAATAGAAAGTAAAAACAAAACCAGTTTCGTCATTTCTAAATTATACGCAGCTAAAAAATTATTCCGGTTATAATGACTTGTTCTTATCTATTACCTTTAAAGCGCACCTGTTCAAAACTAGCTCCGCCATTTTCTATTATTGATAAGTAACTACATAAAAAAAACAATTAAAGTTAGCAAACACAGTCCTCAAACATTGAACAGCTGATATTGTTCTTATGTAATGCAGAGATATACATGCAACGAGTTGCCTATTATGTAAACATTTTAAGTAACAAATTTTTTTTATAATTTTTTATTTTAAGAACATGACTTCATATATATTTTTCTTATAAACTACAAATGAAATAAGTTTTAGAAGAATTTTCTTCAAAACGTTTGCGTTTTGTTTTTGAAGCTGTATTATCTTAATTTTACCAACTAATTAGGTACAGCTACTTTCCTTTGCCCCAGACGCTTATACAAATGTAAGCCGGTCTTGAATCATGACTTTGCACAAAGTAACGGCTGAGCTGTAGATATATACTATTGGGTCATTGAAGCATTTATATTTTTTTTTAGTTTGTTATTTAGGTGCCCCAAGAAGACCTAACGGTCTTGTCACAGAGCATCGCGGAAGTGTATTTAACCAAGAAGTTCACGCCTCCTTCCTTACCGTGACACGAAATATGTCTAAAGTTTGTTTCGAACCTGGATCTCCTGCTTATAAAGCAAGCGCTCTAACCACTGCGCCACGGCCGCACTATCAGATTATCGCTGCCGCATGTCAGGACGATAGTGTGTTTACTTATAATAAAAAAAAAATATATCCAAAAATTTTATAAATAATAATAATAAAAAAATTTATAATTTTTTAAAAACACTTATTCTTAAACACTATTTTAAAAATACTAATTCTTTATGTTAAATACTAAATTTCAATGTTTATGAATGTGCACTGACAAATTTATAAGGCATTGTTATTTTATCAGTTGAATATTTTTGCATATATTTTTCAAGATATATACCATTGGACAGTGACAATTTGGCAAAAAAAGAAGTAAAGTGCATGTATGCCCTTAGTATAGTCTAACATTACAAAAGCACCAATAACAGTATTTATTTTATATTGGAAAGCAATAGCATTTAACGATAATATATATATATATATATATATATATATATATATATATATATATATATATATATATATATATATATATATATATATATATATATATATATATATATATATATATATATATATATATATATATATATATATATATATATATATATCTGGCAGGTAGAGGCGACAAGACTTTTTGCGTGAGTAGTGAGATGAACCCCCCTTAAAAAAGCCAATATGAGCAATCTCTCTCATATCTGCTGTCAGCTTTCGGTCATGGTTGCTGTGCTTCCCTCGCTTGTCTTTTGGTGGAAATTCTGTAAGAAACACACAGTACCATAATTGTGAGACCACAGACAAAAATCTTAGAACAACAACAACAGTAAAACTACAAAAAGCACTAACAATAGCATACTACTATTTTGGGTTGTGAGGATCAGCTGCTGTTAGCATAACTAACTTTCGTTAATCCATTACAAATAGTTAGGGATTAGCGTTAGTGCTAACAGAAATTTATTAGGGATTCTCCTAACCATTGTGTGCTTTATTTTTATCTCGCGGTGCCTAGATTCACCACCAAGTTGTGTAAACATAGGCTATTATAAGAACAGCCTGTCAGTATCATATACTACTACTACTGCTACTATTACTACTACTACTACTACTACTACTACTACTACTATAACCGTTGCCGATGTGCCCTCGCGTTGCGAAATTTGAATTAGAGGCAAGAGGTGCGTAAAAACGATGTTTTAAACAATTTTTTTTAAAAATGCTTCAAAATAAATATTATTTTTATTTCAAATATTTTTTTTTACCTGGAAGATTTGTACCGCTTATAAAAATAACACTTTTCTAACATGTTTCTTCTACTTGCGTAGCATGGGGGCTAAACATGATTCCCCTCGACATGAATTAATATCGCTAACAAACAATAATTGTTTCTGAAAACCTAGTAAATTCCCCCTAAAAGTACCATAGTTCCACCAGTTTTTATATTTTCCTCTCATAATTTTTTTCTACTACTCGTAATTTTTTTTTCCGCGTATTTACTTGAGTGATGTTACTGAAATGTGTTTAATCGGGTTGACTCTGTGAAAACTTTTCAGTGGCGAATGAACAAACCGAGAAATTGATGTCCTTTTTGTTTCCGCATTTACATGCGCAAGTAGTTCAATTTTCTAATAAAGTTTTCCAGTTCTACTATTTTACTAAATAAATTAAAAAACCTTTTTTGTTATTATTGAATTATACATAACATAACTATTTACCTAAATTTCTGAGTTTAAGTGGCATGGGGGCGCACATTTTTTGTGTAGCTTATAAATGAAAAAACTTGAAATTTTTTTATTTTTAAGTGTAAAGTGACTGTTTTGTGAACATCAAACAATTATTTATAGTTAAAAATAATATCATTTTAACTAAAAAGTGTCTTTTAAGTTATTCGACCCTATTTAGTTTTTTTAAAATAAGTCAATAAACGAAATGATTTAAAATTGCTGATGCTCCATGGCCAATCATCATTACCCTTATCAACGGCTGCAAACAGGGTGGGTTTGCAGTAATCAAATTTTTTTAAATGTTTTCCGTGCTAGATCAAGCATGTCTGAGCTTTGCGACATTTCGGACCTTGTTTGTTCTTTGTGGCGCTTAACTATTGATAAGTTTGCAGATTTTATTGAAGATATATTGTTTTCAGTTTACTTTAAAACTTTGCTCCAACTTGTTTTTCTCCACAGTCCAACAGTATGTATTGGGTAATAAAATTGTTTGAGTCTCTTATAATGCAAAATCTTACAAAACACAGTTGCTGAATATGAAGTTTAAACCGATTGAATTTTACTATATAAAATATTAACTGAATGCTGACCAGGTCAATTTAATTCTTAGGATTAGATTAGGATTAACTGTAGCTGTGCCTTAAAATGCTACTAAGTGCTTAAGTTTAAAAGTATTTACATGAGAATATAACTTTTACAGCCGTAGAGCAGAATTGGTTTGCATATTGCTTCAAAAAATTAGATATTGAGTAGGATGAGGACAATTCTGTATGTTGAACATGATTGACCTTTTTTTTGTTTGTTTGAGTTTTCTCCGAAAATTTTTTATTTAAGTAATTCATTACCTTTCTTAAGCAGTAGAACTCTGAGATTAGTTTTGAGTTGTAAAGGTGCTTTTTTCTTTTTTTATCACAATATATCAATCTCGATTTATAGCTTTTTAATTATATAGTTATCAGTGATAACTACATTACATTTTCAACTGCATGTTTGACTTATTCAGTTCTGATAGGAATAACTTTTAAGTTGAGATTAATCACAACTGTCTCTTTGGCCAGTAAAGCCCCATAAGTGCACAGATATGTAAATTTAAGTACCTATTTATTTGTCGACTTAAAAACCGCCTTAAAAAGTGCCCTACTACGTTGTTGAAAGCAAACATCTTAGTAGTGCCCTACTAAGATGTTTGCTTGAAGCAAGCGCAAATGAGTCAGTTACCTTGTAGTTAATTCAATCTCCATTTTCTTCAAGTTTTTTCTTTTAGTTTCCGGTTGTCTCAAAACATTTATTTTAGTTCCTTATAAAATATAAAAGCTTTAACAACTTGTAACTGCGTTATTCATGAAGTGTGCTATAGCTTGGGCAAGTAGTCACTCGTCCTCATTAAAAAAAAAAAAGAAACAAGCGACTCGGTTAATTTTTAATGCAGATAAATATGCATGAAAGACGAATTTAAAAAAATATGATTTTTTCTTTGTAATTTATTTTGCTTAATGCAGCTAAACGTAGGAAAGGTAAATATAGCTATTATTATAATACTATAACAGTATATACAATATAGTACAGATTATTATAATACTATAACAGTATATACAATATAGTACAGATGAATTATCTTAATTTTGTAATTTATTGTGACGTACTGTGTACGATTTATTCTGTTTCAGATCTTTCAGATTTAGGGCATTTTTAAATTGTTATTTGCTTCAATACCGATAAAGGTCTCAAAACAACTTTGACTCAAAACAACTTTGTACAACATTATGCATAAAAAATATATTTTCTAAACTAAAGTTTTGAACATTTATTCAATTAAAATAAGTTCTGTCGCTATAAAACTCTTTTTTTCTTTATTTCTCTTGCTTTTGACAGTTTGTGTCGTTTAGATATGAACTGCTTCTTTAAGTCTACCATACTCCTAATTAAAGGAAAACAAGCCTAGGAATAATTTATAAACAGTTAATTTCAATGAAAAGCAAAAAAAGTATTATCGCAATACCAAGATAAAAAAATTAAATTTTGCTTATCTAAAATTTTATAAACATAAATTTTATAAACCTACCTGCAACAAACAGGAAAATTCAATTTTCGGTGACGATTGAAATGTTCATCAATTAATCTATCATTAAAACAATATAGTAGCACAATATAGATATAAAACAATAAACCACAAAAACTGTTTTGAAATGTTACCAGTGAACAAAATTAATTTTACCTCAATTACGTAGAGCACCAGTTTCTCGCTAACTGTTGACTAATGATTAATACAGTAAAATTCAAATAATAAAAATTGACTGAATCAAATCATGTTTCAACAGTAGACAATAGGTTCATCAACTAAATCCGAGGTTCAATAGGTTCATCAACTAAATCCGATGATTTAATGTTTTATTTACAAAAAATATTTAAATTTGAATGGTAAATATTAGGTATTTACGAAACAAAAATTAGTTAAATAAAACAATCATTAATAAAATAAAATTGAAATAAATGCGATAAAACTCACCTGTTTAAAAACCTGGTGTCACGTTACCTGTTTTTAGATATGAATGCGACTTTTGTATTAAACGTTATCTAATTAAAAAGTTTATAAAAAATATCAAAACAGAACTTTAAAAGAAAAATCTTACATGCATAGTACCTGAATTAAAAAAGTCACATATATAGTACCTAATTCACAAATACTATAATAAATATAAATAAATGCGGCAGTGGTGTAGTGGTAGAGCGCTCGCTTCATAAACGAGTGGTTCCGAGTTCGATCCCCACCACGTCCCTGGTAGTACCGCGCTCAACTCGTTTCTCCGCGCAGCGGCCTTGTTCGTCAAGGTTAGTGTTTCGGAGTTATAGAGTTAAGAGAGGGTTATAACCACAAATAAGTAGCCTCCTCATCTGTAGTGGCCTTCTCGGCCTTGAGGAGGTGAATAAAAATAAAAATAAAAAAAATACTGCTTTCTCCTGTGTAGTATAATAGTTCCTTAATGATAAAAGAGGCTTATGTCAAGTAATTGCCTAAATTTAAAAAAGTTTTTTGTATATAACTATTCATTTTTGTACAAAAAAACATTTTTGTACAACTAAACATTTTTGTACAAAAAAACATTTATTATGTTTGCAAATAACACAACGTGTTATTTGCAAACATAATAAATGCAGAAATGAACAAACTACTTTCATCTTCTGCCCCACAAATCAAAACTATTAAATTTTACATACTTAAAAAAAATCCAGTAAAAACATTTTTATTTGAAGACACCTAAATAGTAAAAAGACTATTTACAAAATGTTTATATTGTTTCTTCTCATTTTTATCGATAGCAAATCAAACTTTTTTACAAGACCCGCTAATTCTGCTTTCTTTAACGATAATACAAATTTGTTTTATTGGTTCATTTGAATGTATTACGTTAGATAAATGCAAATAAGTAGGCTTTCTATCTTCTTCAGTAAATTCTTTTCAACTTCTTTTGAAAGATCTGTTATCATGCATTATCTGGAGATGACGGAATATAGTCATCTAGGTTAAAATCTTCAGATTTAAATAGATCAACTTCCTTAGCAGCGTCAATCAAACTTTCAATATTGTCACTTCTTTTAGTAACGTAACCTTCTTCTTTTTTTCGAATTTCTTGTGAAATAGGGGAGCTTAATGTACAAGAAACTTCATTTACAAAATCAATATAGTCAATATTAGGTTCTGTTCCTGACAACTGCTTAGATTGCATATCAAACTTTATCAACTACTTTTTTAACCTTTTCATCACATACAACTTCTGAATAACTTGACAACTTTTTTTTACATCAACTACTTTTATAGAACCCTTGTTTATTTCAGGTTCAAACAAATGCATGTTTTTTTCTGCTGATCTGTTAATGATCTTTTAATTAAACACAGTTGATTAATTGTGCTTGATACGGCATTACATTTGTCAAATAAGGCATATTAGCTCTAAGCCACTTCAAACTGTGACATAAATAATGTGCAACATTTTGCTTCAAACAGGGAAAACTTTGATATATTTTTGTTGTAAATTTCCTTACTAATATTGGTGTCATTCTAGTTAAAACTTCTTTTACTTTTTTGCCTAAAGCACGATTCCAAAATAAATGAAACTGGGTAGTGATCATCAATGAGTCCATTATAACTTAAAAACATAATTCCATTACCTGTGGATGAGAAATTCCATTGAGTTTTTTTCGAAATACTAGCTTTTATACGATGTTTTAAATTTTTAATAATGACTGTGTAACAATTTTCTTTATAAAATGCTTAACAAAACTCACCAAAAGTCATATTGGCTGAAGCTTCTGGTCTTGTGACATTATTATGAAAGGTGTATGCAAGCAAATAAGACCTGACCAAAAATAATTGGACTTTGTAATAATAAAATTAGAAAACTTAGAAGCTTTATTAGCATCTTTTGCACTTTTAACGTAGTCAGATTTGTCTAATGTATTTATTTATTCAGAAGAGAGGAAGTTGTGGAAATCATACATGTCTTTTTCATGCTGTCTTTCCTAAATATCTTTTCACAAACTATGCTTTCACTTTATAGAGATTTTTAACTTGAAATATTCTTCATTAGAAATAATTTCAAGTTTTTCTTTAGAAATAAAAAAGTTTAATACAAGTTGTAGAGAAAATAAATATGTTTTTCTTGTTCCTGGCTGCTTTTCATCTTTTTGCATCTTTAACATCCAAGAAAAAAAAATACATCCAAGATGCTTGCAATTTACATTGTCATTTGCTGCATGGCATACAGCTCCTAAAACAACATTTTATGTTTCAAGGCAGTGCAAAGTGGTTTGATACCACCCTCAATGCTTTGCAGCCATATCAGAAATTCATCTATTAACTTATCTTCTTCAGATGAAGTCATATAAAACTTGTCTTTACCATCATCAAAGTCAACATTTAACTCAACAGAACCAGAACCATCTTTTTCATTTTTTGCATCTGCAACATTGAACTGATTATTTTTTCTACTTCTAGCATCAAAACTATTACTTGATTTAGGGAGTCTTTTATCTAAATATTGTAAACTTAGCCAGTCTTGGTTTTCATCGTCTGAATCACTACACAGAAAACTATTGTCATTATGAATTGCTCTGTTAAAATTATTTTTTAACAAATCATCTTCAGCCAAAGATTCAGAAGAAAATTCATTTGAGCTCAGATCTGAACTCTCTGAATTTTATCAGAACAGGTCTTGAAAACAGCATTGCTTTTTTTATTTCGTCTTTAAAAACTAGTAAAATTAATTATAAAACTAAAACTATAACGTAATAAAAAACCTAATTTTCACAAACAAAACATGTCACCTTATAGCAATTGCTATTAGATACAGGTTCTTTAAGGGTTTTCAATTTAGACAACAATCAATTCAGTATAAAATCGTTGATATTTTTATCTTTTAATTCCCATATATATTTTGGTGTCTTTGAATACTTTTTATTTTTAAATGATTGCTTATGATTTGCAAAATATTTTCCTCTAAGAATGTTCATGATAAACAATATATTGGTGTGAATGGAAAAAAACATTTTTTCAATCCTTTAAAAATGAAAAGTATTCAAAAGACACCATGCTGTCAAAATATATACAATGATTTTATACTGAATTCAGTAAAAAATCATCAAAATATTGATGATTTTATACTGAATTGGTACAGCACCTGCATTTAATAATATTTCCAAAAATTGCATACTATGCCTACAAGAAAAATTTAAAATTATTACACGTGCAAACTAAGAATTTTATTTAAAAAAAAAAATCGGAATTAATTTCTAAATGCAGGTACGAAAATAAGTTTCTCCTAAAACACTATAAAAATAAGTGAGCTCAAGTAATTGTTACATTAAATCCGCCCCTTTTAAAAATTATTTTTTAAAAAAGCAGAAGTAATTAATACTAAATAGTTCTTTTTATAATAGTGTCAACATATTCCACAAATGTGTGAAAATTTGCAGTAGTTAAGACATTTGCGATTTCCTGTAATTTAATTTTTGGCATAAATTGAAGTTTTATTAATTTGATTATTATTATTATTTCTGATGAAACACAGTATTGAATACAAAAAAATTTTTGATGAGTCATTTTCTATGAATTTATATATATATATATATATATATATATATATATATATATATATATATATATATATATATATATATATATATACAGAATTAATTTAATTGCTTCTTAGATTTTCGGAAATTTGATCCCAATGCCAAATATAAACAATTTAATTGATCTTTTGATAACAAATTTACAACTCAAAATTAGACATATTTTTTAAAAAATTAAAAATAGTAATTCAGACCTTTTTAGCCGATGACAACTCTAAAATTTATTCTTTCCTTAATTTTTTATAGAACCACTAGCTTTGTAAATGTTGTGTGTGAAACTGTGTAATTAAAAAGAAAATAACATCATAATAATGAGAGCGTGTAACAAAAATATGTACAAAAAAGTGGAATTTGAAAACTGTTAACAGATATAGTAAGTGACTAGGGCTTCAGCCCTGTCCCTTCTAAAAATGAAACTTTTTGCATACCTGGTTCTGGCAAAATTATAAGGTTTACCAGGGGTTTATAGCTGGACCTAAAAAAACATATTATAATTTTATGCTTACATTTATTATTCATTAAACACTGGCATATATTTATATATTTTTAAACTCTAATTTACTTCCAACAAGATTGCAGGCAACCACTATTAAGTTATGAGTTACTTTAGAATAAATAATAAGTTAAAATACTAGAAAACGGTTAACTGAATATTTAAAAAGTTGTAGGTTGTATAAAAAAGGAAAACATGAAGATGGGTAAGAGTTATAAGTTGTTTTTTATATGCAAGGAAAAAAACTGGATTAATAAAAGTTTTTATAGCATGAAAGGACAAATACAGTAAAAAGATGTAACTTATTGAATAAGAAGCCAAGCAAGAATGAGTTTTGGTTTATAGTAATAGAGATGATAGCTTATTTGAGCATTGACCATGATAGTATTTGCAGAAAAAAGAAAGAAATGCAATCTTACAACAATGGGAGAGTGGCTCAAGCTTGGCAGAAAAAATAGGTCTACTTACATTTACAATTTACTATTAGACTTTGTCTGAGAGTAAGAGGATTGTTATTCATCAATATAGTGGCAGGTATATATATTCATCAACATAATGCCAATATTATTGCAATTTTTTTTTGCAGTAAATGAGTTTTGTTGTCTAACAAAAATTGGAATTTTAAGTCAAGAATGTAAATCTATAAGCCTTATAGCAAGCCCTAGGATGTTACAGAAGAGAAATCAGATTAAAAACCTTATTCTAAGCAATCAAAACGTGAAAGTTTTTTTTTGTCAAAACAAGAGTATAAAGTTGAGTTGTAAGCAAATAGAGCCACTTTAGATGTAAAATTTTGGTACCCTTAAAGTTAATTGAAATATAGAAGAGTGTAGAATAACTTTAATACTTCAGTTTGAAGTTAATAAATTCAAAACCTTTATATAAATAAACTAATAACATAGTGAAGACTAATCATAGGAAAATTAGAGAGATCAGAGTGTTTTCTAGAGTTTTGAAAAATTGGAACCACTTGTTTAGCACTTTTAAAAAGTTTAGCAAAAATTGAAGAGAGTTCTAGAGAAAACTTTTTTAAGACTATGATGGAAATCTTGTCTGTAGCACAAACTGTAGAAGTGTTTATATGAGAATTAAAGTTAGCACTGGACCCGAGTGATTTCAATGTTTAACAATGGGTTCATCTGTTGAAATGGCAGGAATAGTATGGCCATAAGATTCAAGAGTCAAATAAGAGTAAGATTTGTTGCAAACTCTGCTTTATTCTGTGGTGAAGAAGACCAGACCCATGAATTAGAGATTAAATGTTAGACTTACTTTAATGTTAATGTAAAGGTAATGAAATTGTAAAGTTGAAGACTAACTAAAAGTCTCAAGAACCCAACATCTGAGAAAAGATTTAGAGAGTAACAGAGTTTAATATCAGACAAGATTTTTTAACATTGGCTTCTTAGAACAATAATAAGACATTTTTTCTTAAGAAAGAGATGTTATTGTAAAAAAAATTATTACGGTTTAATAAAGCAACTGCTCAAGATGGTGTAAAACGTTCCAGGAAAAAAATTTCAGAAGGAACAAAAGCTTCCAGTATCATACATATTATGGATATAAACATATATGTTTGCTAACTACTTAGATCATGGCACACAAAATCCTTTCATATTTATATAAACTTTAGTAATTATATGATGTAGTATTTGCTGATTAAGAAGATGATCAGATGATGATGATGGGACTTATGATTATGATGATCATGTTAATCGTAATGATGTTTACATATGCATATATATACAAAATATAACATGAATTTTTAAAAAAAAAAAAAAAAAAAAACTTTAGGATGTATAAAAGTTTATGCAACCCCCATCACAAGCCTAGCCCTAGTCACAACCGTGCTCCGGCTACATTTTATCAATTCTAGCCCTGGCCGTGGTCAAGTATCAATCCCGGTTGCTTACTAACAGATAATTATAAATTTTACAATCATTTTTTAAATACATACTGCTCCAGAAAAAATCATTTTAATAGTTGGAGACACTGCAACCTCTTCAAACTGGTCTTTTGTAAACAATTTAAAAACTAAAAAAATTAATAAATAAAAATATAAATTTACTGTTTATATATATATATATATATATATATATATATATATATATATATATATATATATATATATATATATATATATATATATATATATATATATATATATAATAATATATCTGTAATAAATATTGTGTCATGTCATATATCACATTTATTTTATATTTTATTAGAATAACCACTGATAAATATTTTTTTATTCAATGAAAACTACTTTTAAAAAACAAGAACACCAAAATCATTCAAACTTAACTTCAGTTATAGTGGCATTTATTTTACATACAACCCAACACTATCTATATTACAAACATATTATAACTAAATAAGAATATAATAACAAAAATATATAAAAGAACTAAAAGAAATAATTATAATAAAAATAAGAAATAAAAAATTCAATTTATAAGAACGTTATTCATTATACATACTAAATAATAAAGTTCCAATTATAAGTTGTTTATTATTTTGTTTAAATAGGACATAAAAAGGATTAAAAACAGTTGGCACTTAATAGACTTGCTAATTAGTAAAAAAACTTTTTTCAGAAAAATTATTCTATTAAATAAAGATACAAGATTTTGAACATATGTGAAAAATCTACTTCAAATAAGGAACCGAATTATGTTAAAGTAAGTGTAACCTAATGAATGATTAACCTGAGCCTAAATTGTATTTAATCAATATACTTTATAAATTACATTTTTTTACAAAAATAAAACAAAAAGCTCATCAGAATTTTGTTAAGGTTTTATCCATATTTTATCTAAAATTATATATATATATATATATAAATACCTGTACAAGTTTTATACACAGCATTGTATTCACACATTGTATTCATTGATTCTAATACCTTGACATTTGGTGCCAACAATTTTTGTACATAAAGCACAGGATAAACTTGTAAATGAGGTTAGTTGACAAATGGAACAAGTATTCATTTTAATTAAACTGAAACTAAACTGAAATAAAAGTGTTTTAGAAAAATAAATAAAATTAATTAAACGAAGATGAAAACAACCTAATCATTTTCTTAATCATACTCTTTTATTCCAAAGTATTTTAAAAAATTATATAACATATTGAATATATTAGAAGGAGCTTTGGATAAGCAGGAACCATTTACAATATAAAAGTCCTATAATGATTTAAAATAAAATTTGAAAAAAGTTTAGTTGAAACACTCTTGATCAATATAAAATGCTTTTAAAATGGTTTCATGTTAATGTTACTAATAATAATGCTTGGACAAATAAATAAAATTATTAAATATTGGCTTAATTTAAAAACAGATAAAAAAGTACCACATAGTTAAGAAATAAAACCATAAATAATTATTATCTTTATGTTATCATAATCAAATAAAAGTCTGATTTGAGATCCTAAATAATGCTATATTATATGTACGCATACTTATTAAATGTTATAGTTCTAAATCACAACATAAACTCGATTACTTTCACAAATAAAGCCCGTGACATAAGGGCGCAGAGAGCCCTTATGCTGCCAACAAACGGGCTCAAATTGCAGCATGAGGGCTCAAATTGCAGCATAAGGGCGCGTGAAGTAGCATGAGGGCTTTTTAAGTAGCGCCAGGGCTCATAAAATGCAGATTAAGGGCTCGCAAAAACTACTACTACTACTACTACTACTACTACTACTACTACTACTACTACTACTACTACTATATATATTATTTATTAATATTTCAGGCCGGAATGACGGAATTTATTTTTTACTTTATTTATTTAACACATATCTAAGCGAGCATTTGTTTTTAAAAGTTACGTTCTAAATGTATTTTAAATGTCTTTTAAACGTTTTCTAAACGTTCTTCCGTAAAGAACGTTTTCTAAACGTTCTTCCGTAAAGAACGTTTAAAATACGTTTAAAAGACATTTAGAACGTTACTTTTAAAAACATATGCCCGTATGGATGACACAGAAGGCCGGGTGAATAAAAATGAGCAATTGCTTTTACTCAGCAATTGGTCAGCTTTACGTGAATAAAAACTTCAGGAGTTTTGCTCAAATTTTTATTCAATTAAAGTTAAGCAATATACTCAGTAATTGCTCAGCTTTATGTGAATACAAACTTAAGTCAAATTCCTTATGCTTTTATTCGCGTAAAGCTAACCAATTACTGAGTAAAAGCAATTGCTCATTTTTATTCACCCGGCCTAGACTGTGTAAATTAAATCAAAAAATCATTATCCTACAGGGCAAATAAAAAGCTATAGGTAAACCTAGGTAAAAATGTAATTTTATATAATTATAAATAAATAATTTTGTTTTTTTGCTTGTATTTTTAAAATTTATATTTTTAAAATTTATTATTAAACATTAAAAATTTTAATTGAAATAATTAAATAAAAAAGATTGCTGCCCTATGCCAAGTCCTCAGTCAATGAAGCAGCACTTCCTTGTAGAAGCAGACTATAAGATAGTCGATATAGAAACACTCCCTTGTAGCAGCAAGCTATAAGAAAATATGGATGTAACAGCTCTCGCTAGTAGCAGCAGGCTATAAGATAGTTGATGTGTGTATTTAAAGCCAATAAATATTCTTTATTTTTAAATTAAAAAGTTACCACTTTGAGCAAGTCTTTACGCAAAAGTGCAGCAAGCAATAAAATAAATTTATTTTAGACCCTATATTTGTAGCTTTGCTTAATTTTATTTGCAGTAATCACTTATGTATAGACTTCTAAAAGTTTAGGAACATTATGGTGCAAAAAGAGTTGCTTTCCAGTTTTGGGCAACGAACAAGCTCTTTTTTATCAAAAATGTTATCTTAACTTTTATATGTTTTTTAACTTTTGAAAAGTTAAAAAGTATAGGATGCCTAATAGAGTAAATATTTCATATATATATATATATATATATATATATATATATATATATATATATATATATATATATATATATATATATATATATATATATATATATATATATGTTCTAAACAGTATGGAAGTAATCAAACATTTAGACAACTCACCATTTTCCGGTCCTCCACTGTCCACGTAGCAAATAGTTTGACCCATAATAATCTTTTCTTCATCATTGCAGTGGTCAATTTTGGTTTCTTTTTTGGTCGATATGCCCTCAAACCAGCTTCAATTAATCTTCTTCGCACAGTCCTGATACTCATCTGAACACCTAAAGTGTTTATACAACCATCAATCTGCGTGATCTTATCTGGATGTTAGATTTAGAGAGTCTTGCCTATGCTCGAACATCTTGTTGCGAAGATTTCCGTTTTTTTCCGTATTTTCCTTTACGTTTTAGAGTACCAGTTGAGGCATGCTGTATGATCTTTTTTATGTTTGACACGATGCTCTGAGTTAACCCTCATTTTAAAGCAATTTGATATTGAGTAAGCTCTGTATTCTCCAAAAGAACTTTAATCTGACGCCTTTTACAGTCTTTTTTTTTCTTATTGCTACTAAAGTAAATAAATAAAAAAAGTAAAAAATGAAGACAATGTTAATTTTGTACATGGTGTTGGTGGTCTGGTTTCAGGACCTCAAATCGAGTTACATTTGGTGACCGTACTGTTTGCAAAATAATCCTTACCTAATTGGAAATAATTGAAAAAAATGAATATTCATACCTAAGAACATTACTAACGTATTTTTTAAATTTTCAAAGTACAAAATCTAATATGCAGGCACTAAAATCCCACTGGCATGTCCCAGGAATGATATAAAATTATTTATATCATTTCTCGGAATGATAGAAATAACTTTATATTATTTATGAATTCTCCAAGAGAACCTTAATCTGTTTAGCTTAACTTTAATATTTTTTATAAATACTTACTTACTATAATGTATTGCAATGACAAAAAGTACAAGTAAAGTCTAACTTTGATATTTTTCTCAATTATTGTAACAGTTTAGCCATTACCTGTGTAAATAAAAGAAAATCCACTATTGTGCTATACTGTAGTTTTATTTTAAACTAGAATTTGAAAGTATCTTCAGGAATAATATTTTCTGAAATTTTGACTTTCTTCTTAACGTAAACTAAGTTTTTCATATTTAGTTTATTGATCTTACATTATTCCTTTATATCATCTAAAAATGAATGTTTTACTGATCAATAGTTAAACTGGGAATTGATGATTTCAATAGTTATTTTACTATTTAATAGACGGTTAAATAGGTTTATTTTATTTTGTTGTATGTACGTTGATATCTCCCGAACTTTAAATAGAGAGTTTATATAGTTTTTGCTATACTCGGATACATTAAAAAAAGACTTGACTGCATTTCTTCAGATTTATCAAGTCTTTGAACTTTTACCTTTCTATTTTCACAGAGTTCCAGACCATGCGTTAGCGTTGGAATTGCTAAAGATTTATATAATTGGATAATTGAAGATGGATGCGCGAATCTGATACCAGGTTGAATCAGAGTTTGCACTGCTGTTTGGAAACTTGATACTCTATTGGTAATATCTGATAGTGAGGCAAAATTGGATTTTTGTGTAACCCACACGAAGCCAAGATGATTAAGTTTTTCATTTGGTATTATTTGATGGTCGTCAGGGTTATCTTGCAAATAGTTATTGTCGTTTTCCTGAGAGCAAAAATTCCGTTTTGGCAGCATTGAGTTTTAAGCCGCTTAAGTTATTTTAATCATTACACGTTGTTATAAGCCTTTTAAGATCAGATAGAGTTAAGCTAAACAGAATGATGTCGTCAGAATAGACAACAACACCTGTGAAGTTCCCATGTATTATTATTTTTTTATAGTTTCAAGTAATTTTTGGGTGTAAATGTTATACAAACAGGGCAACAAAATCGATGCTTGGCTTACACCTTGCTTAAGAGTAAATGAAACTGAATTGGAGCCAAGGTAAGAGGCAATTGCACTACTGTTGTGATATAAAGAAAATACAGTGTTAACTATTTTGAGTGGTAGGTTTTTTTCAAAATAAAGTTTATCAAAGAGAAGATTATAGTTGCAACTGTCAAAACCTTTTTCAGCATCTAGCGAACTTAAGTAAATAGGCGAGTAATTGTTGGAAATACGGAAACGCAGAAATACAAACTTTTTTAATGTAGAAATATAAAATAAAATAAGGAAATTAAGATAAGAAAATAAATGTAAGAAAATATGAAATTAAAATAAGAAACTAAATAAATAAGTATGACTTAAACACAAATAATATATAAAAATATTTATATTTACATTTAAAAATGTATATTATTGTATGAAAATATTTATATTAAAAAAGTTTTTATTTACGCATAATATAATTTATATTTACGCATAAATTTGTTTATATTTTCGCATAATCCTGTAATCTATAAAGTAAACCCTGTAATCTATAAACTTACAGTGGAAGTAAAATCTGTCAACTTCAATTGAACTTACAATTGAAGTAAGATCAAACAATTTTTATTCTATATTAAATAATTATTTAATATAATTATATTAATTTTAAAAATTAACTAATATCTTTAAAACTTACTTTTACAATACTTTTATAAAATTTTTATAAAATACAGTACGTGCGATTTTTATAATAAAACGAAATCAGGGCCGCCAAGAGGGAGGGGCAATTGAAGTAGTTTGCCCTGGGCATCACATATGCCTTAAAAACAAATTATTTTAATGATAAAAAATTTAGCTGATAACATATTTAAAGCTTAAGCAATTTTTGTGTATTAATTGGTACTCCTTTTAAACTTTGTTTATATTTAAAATAGGATAATTATTACTTTACAAGGCTTTGATTTTACGTTTGAACGCACGCGTTTTCATTGGCCTTTTGTTTGCATAATAAAGTAAAGATTATTTTCTTTTTTAACGGCACGTCAAAGTTTTTTTGGACATGAAACAAAATTGGTGATGAAACAAAGCGATGGAAAGTTTATAATGCATTCTTTTTGTCACAACTTTTCTGGCTTTAATAAATTTAGCTTTTAGGAGTAAGAATATTGCTTTTAAGTTTTAATTTACATTTTGCATTATTTTATTTATAATTCAAAAATAAATAATAAAAATTATAATTGGATATAAATATGGATTACTAGTTTGATAATTTTTTGTTTGCAATTAGAATCCAATCAAAAATTGTTCAAAAATGGGAATGGAAACTTCTTTGAGCTTATTGCTAAGCAAGGCTACGACAATGGCGCTAATATGGCAATATTTACTATGGAGTTCAAGCTTTGATTAGACAGAATAATCTACAAGCATTTTTCATTCCTTGCTATGCTCGCAGTTTGAACTTATGTGCAGTTCACGCTATTAAATTATCGGCTCCTGCAAAATCCTATTTTGGAAATATTCCAAAGCTATACAATGTGTTCAGCTGCAGCCCAGTTCGTTGGAAAATTCTTCAGGAGAAGACAGACCAATCATTACATAAACATTCTGTTACACGGTGGAGCTCAAGGATTGAAGCAGTCAAAGCACTAGCAAAAAAGTCAAGAAAGATCTTGAAATCATTACATCGTCCAAAAGAGTTAGAGCTTCCAGGCAAAAATAGTGATGAAGAGTATATTCTAATTTAATGGATGAATACTTTTGAATTTTTGGTTTTTACAATTTCTTGGTATAAATGCAGAAAGGAAAACTTTTTTAATGCAGAAATATAAAACAAAATAAGAAAATTAAAATAAGTTTGATAGTAGTTAATAACGTGAGTCTTTAGCT